GTTTAATAATAACCACCATAAGAACATCATATGTATGTACGTGCCGCCTAATAAAAGTAGTTTGTGCCACCTTTATGCCACCCCCTCGCCTCTGCCCCTCGCCCAGCCTCTGCCTTGGCCGGCAATCATCTTGTCCAGCCATGGATCTCAGCCAGGCCATGGCCAAAGTCGAAAGCCGAAAGCCCAATGGCTGCGGACAAAAGTGCGTTAATAGCCAAGACACACATGGCAAATGTGGCCCCCTCCCACTCCCACTCGCGGTCGGTGAGAGGAGTTCGGAGTCCGGAGTCCGGCCAGCTAACGCGCCTTTTACAAATTTTTATTGAAAAATATTAAATTCTCATTAAGGCAGGAGAGGCTGGAGCAGGTTCTCCGCCAGGCAGCATGCACCATGTAGCATCATTTTCCACAGGCACACCACACAACACACACACACATACACACCATCTCTGGGAGTGTGGAGGTCTCTGTTGTTTTTCCTGAACCTGAACCAAAACCCAAACCCAAACCAAAAGCAAAACCCAAACCCGAACGGAGTCGAACCGAAGTTGGCGCGCGCTCATGTGCCGATAGACTCGCTTAGATAAAAGATGATTTATGGGTTTTATGGTGTGATGGGAATTTTAATTTCCAGCATTTTTGCTTAACAAAATTAAACATGGGACTACGACAGAGCCGACGGTCAGATAGTACGATGCTGGATAGTAGTGGAGGAGAGTCGCAGTCGGTGGGGAAGAAAGCCGGGCGAAGACAGGCTCAAACGGTTATTTGCCTGTATTTGGGATCCGGGCAATTGTCAAATGAGGCGACCTCCACCAGACGATTCCATTTTTAATTGAGCCCAGGCGCACAGCATGTATGTATCAGCCAGTCAGGCAGTTAGCCAGTTGCAACCTGGCAACCTGGCAAGCTGCAACTTGCAACTCGTCGACGGGCAACTGTCCATTATGCTCACTCACCTGTAAAATAAATGGCAAAACTGCCAAACACTTTGGCCAACTGACAACTGCGGCAACCCCGGCATCATCGTTCCAATTTAGTGCCGCAAACGGTGGCAGGGAGGCGCAAGAGGGCTCACAGGGATTTAGCGGCGAGGGGAGGTGGCACCCACTGCTGAGAACCGAGGTCTCGCGGCCCGTCCGTTTACCGTTAGGTGTCAAAGATTTCATGCCCCATGTCGCAAACTAACGACACACAATCGATCACAAATCAAACGGACAGAAGCGGCAGTTGCCCGCAGTTGCCTGGCCTGCCTCATGTTGCCCCAAGTTGCCACAAGTTGCCGCCGTTGCGACAGTCATCCAAATGTGTCTCAAAAATCAGGCCGCGGCCGCGTCCGCGGCCAATGCAAAGCCGTTTCATAAATTGCACATGACCTGGCGACCAGCAGCTTCAAGCTGTAAGCTGCAAGCTCCCAAATGCAACTGCAACTGTAACTGCAACTGCAACAGCCACCAAAAGGCAGCAGAAAGGCATAACAATAAATTAAAAATGGATGTCTATGGTTAGCTGCAGAGAGAGAAACTATTCTATTGATTAGCTTAAATATTAATGTAAATAGTTTAACATCCATTTCAAAATATTATCCATAAACTAAAGAATTCGACTTTGAAATATTAAATACAATTTCTATAAACTATATATTATATTTAATTTTTTTCGCAGTGTATTTGGTGCATCTGGATGCTAAGCCTGAGACTCGAAAATATGCTTGAGATCCCGGCTTTGTGGCTTAGAGACTCCTTCAAGTCGATTTGGTTATTGGAGCGCTTTTTTGTCTGATGGACAGCTGCCGACAGTCACACACAGTTTCCGCTCTCCAGATCAGTTTTCGACCCAATCTCCTCCAGCCTTCAGCCGCCAGCCCCCACCAAGACCCATTGATGGACAGCACTGGCTGGTGGCATCGCCAGGCAACTTTATTGGTTTTTAATGAGCTGCTCTGTGATTTCAATGCTTATCTAAATGTATTCAGTGGATATTTGTCGACTGGGTGGCGTGGGGTATATGCGGACCATCTGAATGGGTCAAATAAAGTTTTCCGACTTTAAATATATTTATGAATATTATACATACATATATACAAATCTTAACATTACTAAACCTTTAGTTCTTTATCCTCAGGATAAGGGCTGGCCTTATAAAGTGCATCGTCTTGGTTGAGGTGCTTTCGGAAGTTTCAGTCGTTCCTGCTGTTTCTATAGGTTTTTCAAGCATAGCTTAGGAAACTTAGGAAACTTTCCTCCAGAATGATGTCCTCCTGATTCATTAATGGTGTTCCGTTTCAAAATCAGTTGCGAGATGATTAAAATATTTGCTAAGAGTTTACATTTACATAAGTTTACATTTTTTGCCAAATTGTAAATTTTAAAAACGCTATTCAAATTTTCCACTTTTTATAAAGGAAAAATATTCATAACTTTTTTAATATTTTGCCGATTTATAAAAGTTACACATTTCCGATCTTAGATCTTTGAGTAGCATCGTTTTTAATCAAAACCTGGCAATAAAAATTTTGACCAATTTTTTTCAAATTTTCAAAGGGGTAACATCATAATTTTGACCAAAAATTGAGTGAAAATTTTCTTTTTTTAATTTTTATTACTTTTAATGCAGATTGAAGAGGATTGGAGCACTGATTCATAAATGGTATTCCGTTTTGGAATCGGTTGAAAATTAGTTAAAATATTCGCTTAAATGTGTGATAAAGTATCGATTTTGGTCAAACTAGAAATATCAAAAAAATTTCCCATGTTTTTACTTTTTTTAATGAAAAATTTGCATAACTTGGCAATTACTTGTCATATTTATAAATGTCATACCTTCCCGATCTTGTATTTTTGAGTAGAATCGTTCTTAATTAAAACCTGAAAACAAAAATTCTGACCCATTTTTTTCAATTTTTCATAGGGGTGACATCATGATTTTGGCCAAAAATGGGTCAAAAATATAATTTTACGATTTTCATAATATTTTGATAGAAATGGGAGGGTGTTGGAGCTCTGATTCATAAATGGTATTTGGTTTTTGGATCGGATGAGAGATACTTAAAATATTCGACAAAAACCCTCTTAAAAGTTTACATTTTTGAAAAATAAAGAATATTGAAAACGCTGTTCCAAATTTTGACTTTTTCTAATGGAAAAACATTTATAACTTGGGTAATATTTGGCAGACTCTTAATAGACAAAAGGGCCCAATCTGGCCAATTGAAATCTTTAACTTGGGCAAGTCCTTCAATTTAAGGCTGGGGGAAGTATTATATTATAGAATTATCTGAGCATTGTCTGCGCTTCAATACACTTATAGGTGTGTGGAAATTTCTTTTCGTAGACTAGGATTAATTAAAAATGATTAATTCTCCAAGTGTTTTCGTGTAATATTTCTCATGGGTGAACCCCAACTTGAAGCTCGGACAAAGCCTTTACAAAAATTACCCCACAGTAGCTGCAGGGCATTCGAAGCGTCGATCAGCGATAATTAAGGCAACTTCTCACTTTATTTACTTTTACTCATTTGCATATGCGTTTGGGTCATTAAACCTGACCTCCCCGTATGCCCATCATCCATCGTCATCCTCCGGCATCTTCTCCGGTCTCCAGTCTCCAGTCTCCGGCCTCTGTTCTCCGATCTCCAGTTGCCACTTGCCTCGACGCAATATTGACCTGACCCAAGGCATATTAATTAACCCAAAAAACCGGTCGGTTATATTTGTCTAACCTTTATGCTAAACGCGCGGTGACGGCAGCCGGCGCAGCTTGGGAGCAACAGTAGCAGTTGGCGGCTGTGGCGGTGGCTGCGTCTGAGGTTGCGGTAGTCGCCAGTATTCGGTTATTAATTTACCAATAAATTTCCATGGCGTATGCGTAATATTTCACAATTGTGCCTTAATGACCGAGAGCGTTATTCATGCACTGATTTCCGCTGCAGGTGTCATCCAATTCGTGCCCCTACCATCGGGTGTAGCTCAGCCGGTAGCCAACCAGTTATGCGTATTAGCCCAGGTCTCAGGTCTCGAGTCGTAGCCTTAAAGATCCAACTAGCTGCTAGCTACCAAGCTCCGGGTTTTCGCATTGAAATTACAAATGACGAGAAATTTGTCATCTTTATTATTGCAAACAACGCGCAATTGTATGTTGCCAAGTTGCTGAGAAAACGGCAACGCAAACGGCCAACAGGCAACAGCCAACGACAAACGATGGCCAAGACGACGACGACGACTACCACGACAATGCTCCCCTGGACAATTGGACAATTTGGTGGGGAGTGCGTGCCTCTTGCCACAAAAGCGCTGGCCGCCACTCGCTGACAACTTGCCACATTGCTGGTGCGGCGGGGGAGCCGGACTACGACCGGGACCAGGAGCCGTTGTGGGTTAACCGCAGCCCCATTGTGCGCCAATTGATTTTTCATTTAAATGAAAATGCCCGACGGATTTGGCCAGGCCCCCTCCGTAATGAACACGGCCAAGGCTTCGTCGTTATACTCGTCGTATGGTACAAAAAAGTATCAGTTTCTTTTTATTTTTCCAAAAATAATACAATTTATTTTTCTTGTTTTTCGTGTCTTTATGGGAGTGTGCTAAAATCTATGATGACAGTTGGTTTCCAGGCGGTTTTTTTTCGGCGGAAAAAAACTAAGAAATTCAGTGCGTATTTCAAGATATAGATTATAATAGATCCAAGAAGATTTTAGCGATTTTAGAGCTCCCGACCAACTGCCATTTGATATGCGTATAGTACAAAATGTTTATAGTATAGCCTACAAGATGAGTGAACTCCTAGTCGTATAAATATTGCTCCGCTTGGCTTCTGGTTTTTGCCTCTTTTGTGTGCTTGATTTTGTATAAAATTTTCTACTTAACAACCAATAAAAATTTCATCTAAAATTAGTCAATTTCTCCTTACCACGCTACGTTGTAAATGATTATCTAGGTCTATGTACACACAAGTTGCTAGCACCAATCCAAAACTATTCGTAATTATGTGTATATATATATAGTATATATCCTAGTGTGTGGTAGGTAAAAAAATCCACATTGTTAACTTGGCTTCTGAAGGCAATTGTCTCTGGGCTTAAAATGTGAAAAATTTTACAAATCTTTCCAGCCCGGAACTACGGTTAAGCACTACGTCTAGAGTGGGCTTTGAGCCCGCCTATCAATAAATTGAGCTACTTAGGCGATATGGAATACGTCCGTTCTGGTCCTCAGCCAAACGATGGAATGAATTGAAGTGCAGATATAAATAATCAAGATCCCTGCCACCAGGTGTGCGGCATCTCGCAGATGAGTATTCTCCGATATGTATATATGTGATGGATATGGCCGGTGTGGCAGTACCGAATCCTCAGTGGCGGCGCATGTGCAGCGACAGGTGGTCCGAGCGACTGAAGCTCCGGGTGCACAGCTGGCAGCGGAACGGCTTCACGCCGGTGTGCTTCCGGTAGTGGCGGGTCAGCTCGTCGGAGCGGGCGAAGCGCCAGATGCAGCCCTCCCACGTGCACACGTACGGCTTCTCGCCTGGGGATGACAAAGGATAGATTTTGTTCAAGGACTCTCACTCCACCTTTTTTTAAATATTTATAATCTAAAAAATAAAGGTTATAATATAAATACCTGTATGCGTTCGCTTGTGCGCCTTCAGGTGCGAACTCTTGGTGTAGACCTTGTCGCAGCCCTCAGTATCGCACTTGTGGACCTTGCGGTTCTTGGAGAGATCATTGTAGCCGCCGTTGGCTGTCGAGTCGGAGGAGGAGGAGGAGCGCCCGAAGGCTGAGGCACTTCCGCCAAAGTTGATGCCGCTGAAGCTGCTGCTGTCCTTGCGCGTTGCCCCCAGAGCCATGCCCCCGAAGGCGGGGTTAAGGGCGGCGTGAGGTGACCCCGAGCCGGCGTAGCTCTTCCAGCTGGGCGACGAGGAGCAGCCCGTGGTCAGGGACTTGCTGGAACCGCCAGTGGGAGAGCTCTTCCTCGACGCCTGGGTGTCGCCGAACTTGTAGGGATTCTTGAAGAGGCTCAGCAGCGAGAACTTCCGGTCGTAGTCCTGCATGCTGTTGCCACCTGCCCCAGAGCCCGACCCCGATCCGGAGCTGCTGCTGGTCCCGTTGTTGTAGCTGCAGCTGTTGTTGTTGTCCTCCTGCTTGCCGCTGATCCGTCGATAGGTGAAGAAGAATGGCGAGGCCGCGAAGAACGGCGAGAATGGCAACTTGGACACGCCGGAGGCATAAAGTTGTTGTTGCGTAGGTTGCTGTTGCTGATGATGATGTTGCTGTTGTTGCTGCTGCTGCTGGTGATGGTGCTGTCGGGCGAAGGCCCCCAACGATGCGGCACCGGTCGAGGCCGCTCCAAAGCCCGAGGACGAGGATGAGCCAGATGATCCACTCTGCTTGCCATTGCTGTAGCCGATAGCCTTGTTGCCAATCGCCAAGGAAGACTTGCAGCTGCCACTGCTGCTGCCATGCGAGGTGCTCGCTAGAAAGACAAGAGCCCGGAGGCGGGGGTTAAAAACCAATTGAGATTCGGTTAACAAAATGGCCAAAATGGCGGGGTACACTTTATGGCCACCAATGCCTAATGAGACTCGTAAATGAACCGTACGCTCGGCCAACTGAGCTGAAAGCCAACAAGTAGGCTGGCATCCTAGCCGAAGTGCAGAATACCTCGTAATTATGATGTTACTTGAATTTTATGAAAATTAAAAACATTTATGTATGGTTGTAAAGAGAAGTATTGTTATTTTAAGAGTCTTCGGCCATAGTTTAGATGGTGTAGTCTCATCCCACTCCCAAAGTACTACAACCCATCTATTGATGATCCTTTTAAGAGGTCCATAAATCCATTACATAGAGTCCTTTAAATCAAAGGATTAATGAACCTGCCCTGGGCCAGGGAAGCAGACGGCCTGCTCCAGTCCGGCTCTGTGGCTTGTTGGTCGAGAGTCTTTACACAATTTCCTAATTTCGTTGGCCGCCTCATTGCATCAAAAACGTTTGCATGTCGCGTATTTTATGGCCGGCAGACACTGCGCCGAGCGGACTGGGACGGGATTTTCATTTCGACTTGGAGTACGACTCGGATACAGATTCAGATTCAGACGGACAGCAAATCCGTGCAGTCGTGATCCATTTAACCTGTACTCTGCGCTCCAGACGACTGCGACGACGACGACGACTGCCACTTTCGGCTGCCAGTTGCAGTTGCAGTTGCAACTTGGGACAAGTGTGTCGATTTTGGCGCCCGCGACATCAACATCAATTGCCAGGCAAACTGCAGCTGCTGTTTCTGTTTCTGCTGTTTCTGCAGCTTGGCCAGCACCCTCCCCCCGGCTCCCAGCAGCCGCCCATGGACGACAGAAGGGTGCTCCGCTGTGCAAACCGAATTGCCAAGAAGTTTGCTCACGTTAACCACTCTTGTTGGCCACTTGACTTGGGCCAAGAATCTTGAGGCCGGATTATCGTTTATTTCGGGTGCTTGATTGTGCTTTTTTTGAATGGCTCACTGGCGCCTAACTAGACTGGAATCACTTTGGAAAAAAAACTAACCCAGAAATCCATCTGGGAAAGGTATTAAACCCTTTGGTTGTTTCTTTTCTTCTTGGCTGGTTAGCACATTCAATTTTCACTCTTCCTGGCTTTTTTGGCCCGCAACTCGTTTGTCAGTGGCCAGAAAGACAAAAGCCAAGGGGCAGCCAAAAGGGGGAGAGACGCTAGCCGTACAAGTGACCCAGGCTTAAGTGCTTTGTCAAGCCTGCAACTCCACATGACCGAGGGCCACAAGCCACCACCACCACTACCACTACCACAACAGCAACAACAATAAAAACAAGGTCCAAACTGACCGAGCGACCGACCAGGCGGAGAATGGGGTCCACTGGTCCGCTGGTTTCTTAGCCTCAAGTGCCTCAAGTGCGTTTGCGACTCCGACTGTCTACACATGTGTGCCCTGGCTTGATGCATTTGTAATTTCCATGCCAGAGTTGCGAGCGTTTTGTTTCCCCGGCACCAGGTTATAGTGCCCAAGGTAGCAGATAGAGGTTCCCGACGACCTACAGGTGTCAGTCCCAAACAAGAACGACCCTTGGTTCAGCCAAGCGCTAACTCTTAGGAGGTACTCTGAAAGCCCTGTTATGAAGCTCCACTGTACCTTTCGAGGGAGTCGGGCAAAGTACGCCTCGGGTTGAGGTCCGTTAGCTGGTCCAGGCTGGCGCGTTATTAAAATTGATGGCATTTAATTGAACTGGCCATCAACGTCAGCCCACAGTGCTGTTTTCTGTTTTTCTGTTGCCATTTTCTGTTAGCTGTTTCTGTTTCTGTTACTATTCCACTTTTGAACCATTTGCAATTGTTGGAAAGGGAAGTGCAGCCGGGATCGGGAATGGTGGATGCTACAGTGGCATATGCTAATGCGCATTATGTGCCAACTCGCCGGCTGTCATATATTTCTCGTCTCTCAAATAGCCATTCTCCTCCTAGCTGTCCAGGTATCTCTCTCTGTGTGTGTGTAATCACCGCTTTTACCAAAATGCACACGCTGACTTCATATTTCTGCCAATTTAGCTTTGGCAACAGGCAACAGGCAACAGGCTACAGAAGGCTACAGGCTACAGGCTGCAACCACCAAGCGCAGAAAACACCAACCACCAACCACCGGGCGACCCAGAGATTTGAAATCACACTTGTGCCTATTGCCAAAGTGGTGCAATAAAAAAAGTGAATGTTGCCCCCAAGTGGCACCCGGCGATCCGATGCGATGCGATGCGATGCGATGCTATATGCCATAGATGCCATAGACAGGCTCCTCCATCTCGGGCTCCTTTGGCGCGTCTTCAAATGGTCGTCGCTGTGGCCATAAACTGCTCATTTGACTTAGCTAGATTTACGTTGAAAACACACTGGCTTATATATAGTGTATGGCCGTAAGTGTGCGTAGTTGGACGTGCCGCCCCAGTCGCAGTCAGCGATAATTATGATGAGGCTAGAGCGTCCCCAGATCAGGCCAAGAGACCAACAGTGGTGGGAAGTGCTGGCTTTCAAATTAGAATCTCTAGGCCCAAATTGTCCCGCGGCTTTTTATGGCAATGTAATGAAAAAAAATTCCATTTTATAATGTTTAAATTGGATCCATAAAATATAAATTATACAACCAATAAATAAATAAATCAGGAAAATCATTTACTGAGCTTTAAATTTTAATTTATCCCGTTGGGTGACATGACTTTTGAATTGAATAGTTTTATGAAAATTGAGTACTAAACTTATTGAGGAAAATGGATTTAGATTCAGTCACTAAACCAATAAAAGTAGCCAAGAGGTTTTTGGGGAAAACCCAGTTGAGGATCTCAATTCTAGTATTCCCAATAGATAGTTCCCTTTTGTCAACACCTCTAACCCACTATGCACGGCACTGTCCCAGCGTGTGCACTGTGCAATGCGGATCTCGCACCAAATGCGACTACAAAGCTTGCAACTTAAGAAATAAGAAGCGGCGCAGTGAGGTCTAGGCACCTGAGGAGCTGAAGAGCTGAGAGCCAGGGGGAGACGAAGCCCAGGCGAACAATAAATTACAAAAACAGTTGATAGGGTTTAATGTGCACTTGGTGTGCGATTGGTTATAATTGACAGTTCGCTTGGCTGGCTTGGGCAGCACACATTTCAGAGCTCCGGCCCAAGTCCGATTCCGATTCCGAGCCATAGCCAGTGCTAGACACAGACTCAGAGCCGTGTTAGCGACGTGCTTGGCCAAGCAGTGCAAAAACCGCCAGAAAGCCACCAGCTACCAACTACCAGCCACCGCCACCACTGGCAGTCATCGTGTGTTACGTTTCTAGCCACTTAATTGCCAGGCAGGCACTCGCTTACGTTGATTTAGTAGTTGATTTTTATACGAAACTGTCGTATTTAAGTTATAATTATGAAACAACATGGCGTATGAGCAATGCGAGCTGCGTATCCGTGTCTGTCTCCGTCTCCGTCTCCATGTCCGTCTTTGTGCCTTGGATTCTGCAATTTTCACACATGAACCGTTCGGGCTTTCTGGGCCACATCATTTGGCCAACTTTGACTCCGATGCGATACGTTTTGGGCCACCGAAGAGTCAGATTGGGATTTATGGCATTGCGCATACGCCGTGGGGGCAACACCGCCAGTAGATATCGCCGCTATATAACCTTCTATACACCCTCCGCTCGGCCATATTTTGTTCGTTTTTGGTTGCCGTTTGGATGTTTTGTTTTTAGCCATTTTTCACACTCTGCGGGCGTCTTTTGAACCTTGAAATAAAAGTTTTCCCACACTGAACACTGCAAACATTTCGATTTTCCTTTTGGCGTTTGCCAAGCCGCCTTTCTGCCAGCCAGCCTGCCAGGTTGCTAGGCTGCTAGCCTGCCGGCCTGGCTAATCCGGCGACCGATTCCCAGCCAGCCCAAAATGGTAACAGACGTAGACTCTGTGGCAGCAGGGAAAAAAACTAATGAGCAACAACACTACGACTGCGACTCCGACTCCGACTCCGAATGCAAACTGCACCTGCCAAAGAGAGGCACAGCCAAAGAGCCAAAAACGAAAACCCAGAAATAGTATGCCAGGCTCTGGGATGCCGAACTGGTAATGCCCTTTTTACAAGGATTATTCAGGTATAATGGGGTCCTAATTGTTATCCCTAACTACCATTAACTATTTAGCCACCTAATCACTTCTAACTTTAAGCACTTTTTGGCCAAAAATATTATTAGTGTTTAAGCCGTCTCTACTTTTAAGCCATTAAAGTGTATTCTTGGCCACAGAGGGCTGCCCACAGCCCACAAGAAATCAGCCAAGACGTTGGCGGCGCTTCGTTAGCGCTGTGCCGTTTGTCCCTCTGCTCCTCCGTCCTCCTGGCCAAGATTATCCGGCAAATACCCCTCGCCCGTGTCCTCCCACTGGTTTCTGTTGATTTGTTTTTTATGAGCAAATTGTGCAAATATCTTAGAGCAGAAAAGAGGCAGAAAAAAACGTTGACAACTAGATAAATTTAAATGAATTTCTGAGACTCATAAGCTGACAGCGAAATGGTCGATCAGAGTCGTGTGTTTAGGGGCATGCCTCGATCGGGGCATCTGGAGTTCTGATCAAAAGGCGGTAGCTCGGACAAAAAAACAGACATTTAATTGTTTTTGCTACCAATTATGTATTTGTCAAGTTAATTGGTATGTCAACGCAACTAGTTTTTAGACCAAGACTGTCTAACTGGAAGCCTGGCTAACTGGAGCCTGGCCATCAAAGCTGACCACCGCCGGCGGAGCAACGCAAACGCCTGACGCATTGTCAATAAGCTGACGACGACACACGGACGGTGGACAGTGGACAGTGGATAGTGGACGTGGGACATCGGACATTGGACATCGACGAAGATACAAAAGCAATGCCAATCATGCAGGCATTTTACACCAAGCCCCCGGTTCGAGCCAAAAAGTCTAAGAGCCACAAGAGCTGAGA